TTCAGTTGTTGTACTCCGAGGACCCATGACGCTTAAACTGACAAAGTTTTATGATTCTAAGCCAATTAGTACCCAAAATATTTTATTAAAGCCATAAATTTTCCGAAAGTATGTCATGGTGACCTACTTTTTAGTCGACCTACTCCGAAAACCCATGAGGCATCAACTGACAAAGTTTGATGATTCTAAGCCAATTAGTACCCGAAATATTTAATTAAAACCATAAATTTTCAAAAGTAGGTCACGGTGACCTACTTTTTAGTCGACCTACTCTGAAGACCCAAGATGCATCAACTGACAAAGTTTGATGATTCTAAGCCAATTAGTACCCAAAATATTTAATTAAAGCCATAAATTTTCAAAAGTAGGTCACTGTGACCTACTTTTTAGTCGACCTACTCCGAAGACCCATGAGGCATCAACTGACAAAGTTTGATGATTCTAAGCCAATTAGTACCCGGAATATTTAATTAAAGCCATAAATTTTCAAAAGTAGGTCACGGTGACCTACTTTTTAGTCGACCTACTCTGAAGACCCAAGAGGCATCAACTGACAAAGTTTGATGATTCTAAGCCAATTAGTACCCGAAATATTTAATTAACGCCATAAATTTTCAAAAGTAGGTCACTGTGACCTACTTTTTAGTCGACCTACTCCGAAGACCCAAGATGCATCAACTGACAAAGTTTTATGATTCTAAGCCAATTAGTACCTGAAATATTTAATTATAGTCATATAAATTGAAAAATAGGTCATGGTGACCTACTTTTCAGTTGACCTTTTTTGAGGACCCAAGATGCATCAACTTACAAAGTTTTATGATCATAGGACTTAAAATGTCCAAATTATGCCTCTAAAACGCTTTGAAATCGAATGCCTGCAAAGTTCAAGAAGTAGGTCACTGTGACTTACTTTTTAATAAATATGTTTTATGGCCCCAAGATGCATCATCTTACAAGATTTAATGATTCTAAGCCTCCCCGTATTCGAATTAATGACCTTAATTGTTTTAAAAAAGATTAGCCATAAAATTCAAAAAGTAGGTCAAGGTGACCTACTTTTTAGTTGACGTACTTTGAGGACCCAAGATGCATCAACTGACAAAGTTTGATGATCATAGGCCTTAAATTGTTCAAAATATGCCTCTAAATCATTTTGAAAAAGAATGGCCGCAAAATTTAAAAAGTAGGTCACCGTGACCTACTTTTGAGTCAACATGATATGAGGTCCTTAGATGCACCAACTGACAAGATTTGATGATCCTAGTCCTTATAGTAAGCAAAATATCAACATTTTAATAAAATGTAATTTTTGGTCAACTTTGAAGTGACCTTGAGACCACGCCCTTTGCCCCAGGGTAAATCCCCGTGCAAATTTTAATCTACAACATATCCTCATCCTTTTGTGTAAGTTTGGTGATAATCTGCCCAGTGGTTCTTGAGAAGAAGATTTTTTAGCAACCAGTACTTTTGTTTCTATTTTCCTAATTATCTCCCCTTGTTAAAGGGTAACAACCCCAGTTTTAGTATAAAAGGGAGCCCTTGGGCCAAGGATACCCTGTGACAAATTTGACAATAATTGGCCAAGGGGTTCTTGAGTTATGACCCATATTCTAAAAAGTTTACGCACACCGCACACCGCACAAATGGCCATAGCATTAGCTCTTTGAGCCTTTGGCTCAGAAGAGCTAAAAAAGAGAGATGTCAATCCCAATAGAGTAAAATGCATTTCAGGGATTCGTATTTGTTGATTTTAATTTGAGTTAACTTTGTGTTTGCGTTTCAAAGCTTTTTATTTATCAATTTTAATTTGTGTTTGTTTTTAATTTCATAACCTCAAAACCAATTCGTCCGCGTACACTGCACATAGAAAAAAAAAACTTGGAATCATATCATATCATATCATTATCATAACTTACGTTACAGACCTTGAAAAATTTGGCTTCAAAAAAATAACGTGAATCTCCGAAGGCTTAAAAAAGGGTGTGCGATTTGTTTAGATCAATTTTTCGATGAACAAAATATTTTATATAGCCAATGCTAATAATTTAATATTAGAGACAAACACAGTACTTTGCATGTACATACTCATTATTTGATTAACAAAATCGAAAATCATATGCCTAAATCTGCTTAGTGAATTCGACAGGAAATGCACACGAATTCTCGGGAAGGGATTCAGAAGCCTGTAGTACACTCTAACGGGCATAGTTCCCTAAAACTAAAAGTTATAAAAATAAGGATATAATATTATATGTATGATTTGCATATAGAGTTTATCCGCGTCAGCTATGAAAATATGCGCTTGTCGTCTTCAAAGCAATGCAGCATGAAACGTCAGACACTTGCATTGATATCGATTAGTAAAAGATCGAAAGATCGATCAAAGGTCACAGTCCAGTGGGGAGCCAAAGAAATTGGAAAGGGGTGTATTTAGTATTAAATCAAACTCTTGATATAATTTTTTTATTGGTACTCATTACAGTACATTACAAAATACAAATAATTGAAATGCAGAATAACAGAACACTCACATAGAAGAATCAAAATTCACTTTCACATCCCTTTTTATAAGCTACATAGAGATTTTATTTCTAGTTCAGTTATCAATTATACGAAGTCTTATTTTGTTACTTGTGGGAACAATACGCAAAACACGTCACAGTGCTTCTTTATAGATTTATCCTTGCCATTCCCGGATTATATCACTAGCTTGATTATGTTTCTTTTTCATGTAAGTGTCTGATAAGTAAAAATCTTAAAAAATATACTTAACAAACTGCTGACATGAATTGCAAGACGATACATCACGTCATCTACTAAGACAAAAACTGCATTAAAATAGATAAAGATTTTCTTTAGAACTCCTCCCTATGTTTACATGTTACACAGCCGTAGGTAAGATACATGTATTTGATATAATTATTTCGGTGACAATGATAATTTTATCACTTCCTTTGGATACATTAACTCTCTGGGGCATTTCCTTGTGCATTTGTCCTTGTAGTAACGATGAAATACTTTTAATTTTTTTTTTTCTGGAACGGATTATCATCACAGACGGACGTTGAATTTTTAAAATTTAGCGATAATGTGCAACGCCGTTTTCACAGAGGTGATATTGGACAGGACGCTCCTCCAGCTCCGATGAACATCTATTGGAATATTAAACATATTTCCTATTAAATATATTACTATTATTTTATGGATAATCTGGATAAAATCCTTTTAAAAATACTCGCTTACTTCAAGATTAACAATAGTGTACATGTAGTTAATATGTACATTCGTTTTCTATACAGATAAATATCTATAGAGTAATCTTTTTTTTCTTATTTTTTTTCATTTCAAGACTTGGAATGCCTTAAAATGTATTAGGAAAACAATTTCTGAAAAAAAAAAAATTACGAGTTAAACCATCGATTATGGAGCGTAAAGGGGGTGTCTTGTCCACAAGTAATGCAAGATCGTGTTTGTATTTCTTACAGAACTGCATGGGAACAGATTATCTTTATTTATAAACAATGAAAAAGGTTGATTGTATCATGTTTCACTTAAATTTTCAAAGAAAATACCGAAAGCGTACACCACTGTATACGTTTTTTAAGCCTTATAAACTTGGTCAACATAATTATCTAAAATTCCTTGTAAATTATAAATTAAACCCAATTTTACTTGAAAACACTGATGTCAATATTCCGATCAGCATGATAAATGTGTATATGATTAATAAGTGTACATGCATGTAAGAACTTTTCCATTCCCAGCTGCTGACCTTCAATAAGTAGATGTAGGCCTGCAGTGGCAGATTTAGAAGTATTTTGTCACGTATAAAACACTTCCTGATTATGCGATAAAACACTAGAATCCTTTCTGACATAATTAATTTTGTCAAATAAATATCTGCAACAATACAGTGACAAGAATAACATGTTTTGAAAAGAAATGTTCAAATGGTGACTGCTATACAGTCATGTAAGCCAAGCTTCAAATCTACCCCCCCCTCCCCCCCCCAAAAAGTTAGCTATTGTGTTTTGACTTTCATGAATCCCAGACATATATAAATTGAAAACGAATAAAACATACTTTAAAAAGCTGATGATATTCAATAAAAATGTTAAGAATAATCTTTTCTTGAAGTCAAATAAAGTCAATGTCCACTATGAAAGAGACGCGCGTTTTAATTGGAGGTACATTGTACGTATGTAGGATTAAATGTAAATTGATTGTCTGAACCATCCCAACTTGTGTCATAAAATTACTTTTTCACGCTGTAAATATTGATTGAATATTTATCATAGTTGCAAAGACTGAAGAAATTGTTTCAAGTACATATTTTCAACATGATTGCTCTTTGTGACGTCATTTTTTTCAATGCATTGCGTCACTAATTTACATGTAATGTCCCATTATTATAGTAAATTTCACTGAGAAGGGTTCATATGGTTTTCATTTGCATAAATAATTATATTAAATTAATTTTTTTCAAATGCAAAATTGAATTTAAAAGACAATAAAAAAAATAATAAAGCCTTCAGATATAGAATTAAACAATTAATTTCTTTAAAAATATAGATTTTATTGTGGAGAAAAGGTGACGTCTATCCAAAAATGCAGCATTTTTTACTTCAATTTTTTGCAAAAACGGATGTGGCCGCACTTTTGTAAAGTTATTTTTTCTCTTTAATATTAAAAATCGTAGTGTATTTGTTCTTTCTGCAAAGTTTCGCATACATACTCGGATGCGGCCATATCGAAATATAGACTTGAAGAGGAGAAAAACGTCCGAAATAGGGGAATTCCGGAATATTAGACCAGTTTTGAACGTTATATAAATGAAAGGGCACGTGAGTTGAGAAAAATTTATTCCTATTTCACACACAGGGAAACCTTAACAGTTAATTGATACAATTGAAAGAATGTTATCGTGCGTTTAATTTTTGCCGATTTTACAGGGCCGTAAATCGGTCTTAACGTACCCAGCTCTTTTACAGTATTACCTGATTGTGGGATTGCTGAGATGAACTTTGAACTTTTGGATCTGGTTGAATGTCTAGAAAATGAAATGAGTTCAGATTTCCAAAAGGAAAACTTAAAATGTCAGTTTCTATACAATGTATGGAAACAAACTTCATCAAAGAATAATATTTATGTTGATAGAATTTAATTTTTAAATGAATAAATGGAACAAATTTATACATAAGTCTTCATTTTTTATGAAATCATTTTTTGACATTGCATAGCCATTAAAAAGACACAAGAGACTAATAACCATTCTCAATGTTTTAAGATTTGGTTCAACTACAAAAAGAATTTTAAAGTAACTTGAAAATCATTTTTTATATTTTGATTTATTTCTGAAAATACCTAGCTGTACCTAGAGTAATCAGGTAGCTTCAAACTGTATTTGACTAGGTAGATAAAATAAAATAAGCCATATTTATGAGGTGAAAACTATAGTTGTATGTTATCGTTACCTGATCAGCAAGTTCCCTGGAAGGCTATAAAATAAACAAAAATTCCATTATGAAAGAGAACATTCTGATAAGATTTTGGTAAAATGTCACAGGAGTGATTTCAGAAAGATGAAAATTAAGGACAAACATGTTAAAAACAGGGATTTTTTAAACAATACATTAATTTAACCATTTTAATAGCTAGATATGAAGATATCATAACATTTTACATTACAACCACATTGACAATAACAAGACCTTGACAGAGTGGGTGCAACGAGGCCAATATTCACATGAAATCAACCTCTCATAAAACACAAAATCCCAGCTGGAAAAGGCAAATTAAAAAGATTCTTAAATGATGAAAGACCCATTGCTTGGACTAAAATGAAGACATAAACATTATATTGTATCCGTGGTAGGTGTAATGAGTAAACTCCCCTTTCAGTTCCACAGGAACATGGCGCAGGATGTCAACACATCGTGACAGATCAAAATAGCTAACGAGGATGCAAAATTAGGAACAAGATACCATTAAGACCCTTGTAGAATGTAATAAAATCCTTGACAAGATGAGAATTATAGAGGAATTCATACAGACACTCCTCCTCACTAGATAACAAAGAAATAAACTGCTGATCGAGTTTTGCTTTCTTTAACCTACACAGTCTACTACAGCAAAAAGTTAAAAGCCTTTTCCTTGAACTTTTCTTCTCATCTATTTTTTTTTTCTTTGGATCACATACCCAAGAAACTTAAATTTAAGTTCTCTGTCTTCAAGAGAACCCATTACATCTACTTGGATGCTGCTAATGTATAAGAGAAATAGTTTGTATGGGTGATTAGAGCTATTCCTAGTCAAACCAAGAGTTTATGTTTTAATTTTTTTGTACATTGACCCTCCCAACCTTTAAAAATAATCAGGTGTCTTCCAAATATCAAAGCTATGAAAAATATGGAAACACAGTCTTGCTACAATTGAAGAGAATGTATGTTTAAAGCAAGTCCTGCTATCATAGTTAGCATTATGGTAAGTTTTTTTTAACATAATCAGTATTTTTTAAATTCTGTATTAAAATACAGCCCATACTTTTCTGCTGTAACTATTTTAATATCCTTTTAGTTAAACATGTATGATTAAACTCTGCAAAAATGAATTGAACATCCTGAAAGCTACACTTGAAAAGTTTAAGTCATTTTTCTAATATGCATTCAATTTGGCTTTCAGTAGTTGTTGTTGGTTGGTCACATGATCAAGTCAACATACCTCAATAATGATGGCCTGAGGGGCATTAGGGGCTGGCTTAGCATTGACAGCTCCATGTGCTAAAAAAGAAAACAATAAAGACATCGTTAAGTCTACACGATTTGTCAATCACATCTGAATTACAAAGTACTCATTCTTCAATTCCATAGTGTTACACATCTCTGTATAACAAATTCAAGAAAATTGTCGGAAAATAGCTCTATGCATTAAATAGTTATTTATCACTCATCTTCTGCCACTGTTTGTCGAAGCAAATGTGAGGTAAACTGGCACCCTTGGCTGTTACATTAGAACCCACTGGAGCCTACCAAGGATTATTCCAAGTTTAGAAAAATTACTTTCCTTACTCAAGGGCACGGAATGCAGGCCTATAACAGATCAAAAAGCCGAAAGAAATTCTTGAATTTGCCAATTTGCAAATCTGCTTGAGTAGCATAAATCACCTATCAACTTTTCCATAATAAAATCACCAATATTTTGTAACAAACTGAAGAAAAATGACAAATTTCTGCATCTCCTACAGTAGTAACTGGAGTAAAATTATAATCACTGATGAATACTACCTGAGAAAACTATACCTCGAGTATATCATGACTTTAATGAGGGAAATGCATATGGAAAATACTGTACGTGTACATAAACTGGCGTATTCAAAATTAAGCCCAATCACTGGGTATGGAGTTGTTAGCGAAATTATGAATTAGCTCTGCATGTACATGTCCTTGCCTATATTGTATTCATAAATGATTTCTTAGCTGTATTCATGAATTTGCGCATTGTTGTCTGTGCCAAAGCCGCTAAAATATGAAGCCCGCTTTTAAAGTACACATACAGTACATCATTTCTGTTTATTGAAAAAATATCTTCTAAATTTACGACATCTTGTTATGGGTACCAATGAGAAGACTATCAGTTTTGATAAACTTCCCTACATTGCCTCTTGGAATTATTTTTACTCTTTTACCAAAACCAACATTATATTATGAAAGGAGAGCAGTGTTTGCATGGATTCTTCACTTTCACATCAGAATATATTTTTTATATGGGATGAATTAAATGACTATATGTTCCTTCCAATTCTGGATTCACATATATAAAAAAATAAAATTACACATAAAAATGTTTAATTTTTCCAAACATGTCAAACAAATTTGTTTACAAGAAAAATGATGTTTCATTATGCATGAGTGTAGGATAGACAATTCTCCACTGAGGGAGATGATATCTGGAAATTCTCTGACTTGAGCCTTGCCTATGAAGGGAATGTAATAATAATCCCCTCTGACAGGCTGATTGATTGTACATTGTTTAACATCCCATTATTTAAGTTTTTCACTCATGTACAGATATCACCTGCCCTAAGGGAATTGCCACAAATTCTGACCTATGAATGGAGCCAACAGCTAATAGTAAGGGTTCTCTATTGTGCCTGTTTTTCCAAGGTCTCATTCAAAGGACCTGTGATTTTTACTTCTAATGACAGGTGCTTGGAGAAGGAACAGCCATGATTTAACTATCATGAACCTTTTAGGTTTGAGGCAGTGCTAAGAACAAGAATGGAACCCTGTCCTCCCAATCACAAAGCGAGCGTCAAACTACTATGGTATATCCAAATCAGTGATCTCTGACAAATGGGATCTTTTTCTCCTACATACATACATACATACATACATACATACATACACACCCACACACCCATATATATATATATATATATATATATATATATATATATATATATATATATATATATAGTTATACAAGAGGCGTGTTGTGGGATATTTTGCGTATCTCAGACTCACGTTGTGGGATCCATAGGTGGTTTATGGGTCATCTATATTTTGACCCATAAACCATGTACTTTAAACTTCACACAAATGGTGAAAATGATATTATTATCATAAAAAACCAAAAAAAAATTTTTTTTGACCCACAAGGATATATAGAAAAATGTCCCACAACTCAAAATCTATTTTTAGAACAGTCGGTCTAAGTCCCTCGCTTTCAACATTTTGTGTATCTATAAATGTCAAGTGGAATGTCCCACAATACGGGTTAGCGATACACGCAATGCATTGTGGGAGAAAAATGGCGGGGTTGAGCAGGGGGAAGAGAGCTGTAAGTACAGTGTTTTTCTCATTAAACAGCAAGTAGAAGGGCGATTGAATATAAAGTTATAAACGAGGGACTGTTGAATTTGTTTGAACTTATGCACAATTGAATAAAAATGGTGGACGCCTCAGTCTGAAGCGTAAGGGAGCTTGCTTGCCAACCTTAAGAAAAGCACATGCTCTGATTCGGAATGCAAGTGGCATACATCATACATGGGGTACTAGTCAGCGAGTTAAGAAAATTTGAGCGCTTACATTACTTTTTCCTTAGTTTGAATACATGTTTACCGCTGATGTAAGAAAATAGTGAGATCATTAACCACAGAAGCGATACAGTCACTGTATCACTGCATTCGACATTTTCGCGGCAATTTTTTCCCGACGTTATAGCTTTTAACATATAAATTCAGTAAACAAATAAGAAAAGTAAAATTACGATTTTTTGCTCATTGATCTATGACTTTTGCACACATGACTTTGCTAGGGATGGATAAATGCAGATACAGTATAACTCGGTTATAACGAAGTCACTGGATATGCGAATTTACTTCGCTATACCCGAAATTCGTTATATCCGTATTAGGAATTCGTTAAATTTATATAGCTGGGGATCCAAGAAAACTTCGCTCTATCTGTGAATTCGCAATATCCGTGTTCATACTAAACGAGTTTTACTGTACATATTTATGTCACAGCGATTTTTTTCTACCCATTGGGAAAGGGTCCGGTACCGGTTCAATTGGGAAAAATAGCATCGAAGTAGAACAAAGCAGTTTCTGTCATTTAAACAAATAAAACATATTTGGCGTTTAGTCCAACCTCATTACCTATTACTGTGTGTTTTAAAGAACAAACAACAAGTATTTATTGTTTTTCATTTCTCTTGTTTTTTCACATTTTCATGATTTCAATTTGTCAAAATGTATGACACTACGCTGTCTACACCACAGGTCCTGCCATATTACGACTAATCTCTACTTTCGATGTAAGCGGAAGTGAAAGAATTAGTCAACTTGTACGTTTCATTTAAAAGGAAGTACTACATACAATGTCATCATAGTCTGTTGCTTGGAATTGGGAATTTTTAGTCTCAAAATTGGGAAAAATTAACGTTTTTTGGCATTGGGAATGATACCGTTTATCGGTACCAGTTATATAAGGAAAAAAAATCGCTGTGTCATACATTTAGGTACTTGTGGACAGAACTTCCACCTCCTCCCCAATATTCAACCTCAGGGCTTGTTGGTATTTTCTTCACAAATTATATTTATTACACCTATTTATCATGTACACCATAGCAAAAAATTGGGGGGAAAAAGCAAAATCATTTCATACAAAAAATCCCCACTTTACGTATTAAATAAAAGAGAAAAGTATGCCAGTGTGATTTGTTTACATTGTACTCCCGCTGGTCTTCCTGGGTTAAAAAGAAAACTTTATTTTATTTCAACCTAAAATGTTGATTCACCAGTCCATGTGAAAGACATCGGACTGTAAGGCCTAACTGGTGTGCAGTGCCTTTGGTCTGATGTGTCATTTTTTACACCAGACAAGAATGTCCGATGTCTCAGTGTCCGTTTTTGAGCTTTTACTATTTTGACGCGGAGTCATTTAAATGTTTGTTATGAGAAATAAATATTGCACAAACCCAAATACGTTAATGAAAGTGATAAAAACCATCTACAGTATTATGTGATTTCTTTGGTTCTGCATTTTCACGTTTCTCACTGTTTTACATTAGGTTTCTCGGTCTGACAAAATGAGGTTTGGCATGTGTGTTCATTGATTACACAGGACCAAATGTCCTGTGTGGTAAAAAAAAAAATTCCCTTAGACTTGTTCACATTGTCTCTACATATATTTATTGTCTTAGTTCATGCTATTGGATTGACTCTGCACTCATAAGAATCCCAAAATGAACCCTCAAACACGATTGCAGTCAATGCATTGAAAAAGCCTTAGGTAAACAGCTAAATGCAATTGAAGTGCATAAAGAATGTATTACCTACTACAATAACACCTGAGAGAAATTATTATGTCATGTCAAAAAATCTTTCGCGTTTAAGGGTCCTCCACACCCCGTGACTTGTGACGTATATCGAGAAAAAATACTATTACTTTCAGTTTTATGTAATGTGCACTGACGATTTGCCTGGCACCGCCTGTTTGTTTTTCATGAATTTTGATCAAGTTAAATTCGTGGAGTTTTTATGCATTCAAACATTGAACTATGTAGTTCATTTTAGAAAAAGGGAGGGGTTTTGCAATTGGGAATGAGGCCCATATTCAGCCTTACACGGGGCAGTGGAAAATCCCTGTATAAGGCCAACATTTTTTAATAAAATGATTTATGGGAGTGCAGACTACACACTTAAGCTAAAACCACATAAAAAATAAAGGCCACTGTTGTTGATTTTTAAATTTCCCGCCAATCGTCAATACAAGTGCACTAAGAAAATAAAATAATGTGCACATAAGTCAGCAATTCTGATTGGCTGCTTAATTGAAAGCCATTATTTTCATCCAATCAATGTACATTTGTTAGGGGTGGGACGATACACAGATCTTGCGATACGATACGTACCCAGGGATAGACATTAACTTTCAGATTCACTTGCCCTTCGGGCAAGTGATCTCAAACTTTGACTTGTCCGAATGCAAAACTTGGTTGCCCAAAATTAGGATGGAACTTGAGACGAAATTATTAATTACTGCAAACGTTATGAAAAGAAAAAATGTGACGAAATACACTACTGTCAATTTGGCAAGTTGAGCTACCGGGTACCTGAAACAATTTCGATCCTGCATTTGTACATAAATGTATACCGCTAAAAAACTACATGTACTTGTAAATTTAACCTGTTAACATACACTGCCATGCAGCAATAACCCTCCGTTTCCTTTTTTGAAAAAAACATATTTTTAAAAATTAATTGCGGTAGGAGCAT